TGTGAACTAGTGGGCTAACCTCAACCTTTTCCCATATATGAGATTGACTATACTAAATTGTATTCATAATTTTGTATGCGAGATGCCCACAGCATTAGATGTTCACGGTGACTTTGAGAGCCATAATGTTATTTTTAACTAAACTGGACAAATTTGTTAATGTTGTTGTATCAGGAAATACCGAGAACATGTCAAGGATCTTTCTTGCCTCTCAAAGGATCTTTGCCGGATTGTGATTGTGGATAACAACCCATTTAGTTTCTTGCTGCAGCCACTAAATGGAATACCATGCCTGCCTTTTTCTGCAGGGCAGCCCAATGATGAGCAGGTTGTGTAAGTTGAGGCATTTGAAAATTTCCACTGGCATTTCTTTGTTGCATTTTTCCTATTGCATGCCCTTGATTTCACATGTTTTAGTAATAAGAAAAGGGAACATAATCCTACAAGCAATGAATCATACAGAAAAAACATTGTTGTTCCAATGGGTCATCACCAACCATCTAAATGAAGGCCGGTGATGGAGAGAAAGGAAACCACCCGAATAGGACATGACCCAATATCGGGTGCTCACTCTCACTTCGTCACTGCCTGTCATTTTAGTACATGCTGATGGCTCCATGGACACCCTCACTCCGTCACTGCCTGTCATTTTAGTACATGCTGATGACTCCATGGACTATGGTTTTTCCATTGTTTATTAGATCATAGTAAATTCCTAATCATAATGTTTTGGCTTGATCAGTTAATTATAGTAAACTTCTAATAAAAAAACAGATCCCCTTAACACTACTGTTTCCTTGTTTGATTTGATCAGCTCATCGAGGTTCTTCTCCCACTACTAAAACACCTTTCTCTACAAAAGGATGTCCGGCCTGCACTACATGAAAGGTTTCACATGCCTGAATGGTTCCAGAAGCATGGCATTCCTTCAACCTATTGGCTGCCCTAAAATCTTTGCCTTTTGCATGAAGGCTTTGAAAGAAGAGAGTTGAGTCTCTCTAGAAATACAAACTTCTGTGTACATGATGCAGATCCTGCCTGATTTTGTGAATGCTTGTATGTCGACATTCTTGGGAGCCATGTTTAAAGCCTGTATATTATTTTATGGTTTCTCATATTTTTGAAGCTTGTATTTGTTAGAAGCTCATTTTTGCTCCTGCCATGCAGAGAATAACAGCATTCCTGCCATGGCCATGGATGTAACATCAACTGTTGGTTGCTGCCCCTTGTCTTATAACTATTGGTTAAATGTTATTGTTCTTATTAGCTGGGGCAATATTGCGTTAGAATTAGCATGTGTAAAACTGATTAAATTGATTTTTATGAATTGACATCATGGCATTGAACTTGTGGCGTCTCTCGCTCTCCAACCGTTAAAAGTGGCTGACCTAGGTAAGCTCGGGTTAACATTTGGAACCCGTTTTGTCACAAACATTTGGCACAGGTCCCATAACACACTTCCACGCTTAAAAGAAGGGGATATTCTCAATAACTAGAATGTCCATTTAATGGACTTTGTTGGGCAGTCTGACCGGTGCCATTAGCTACCATTATTAGTATCAAACCAGACGAAGTTCGGTCTGGTTAAAATTGATCTAACTGCCAACAAAATTAGTTTGTATTCTAAATAAATAATTAATTAATTATAAAAAAAAAAAAATACAGATTATAAATTATATAAAAAAAAAAAAGTTCATAAAGTTTACAACCTTATACTATGGATAGTACCCCTCAAAAATCTAGTAGGAAAGGGTGTTCCCAAGTTAGAAACCTCTCAATTGATCATCTCTATTTTGAGATGAGATGTGAGGATATAAAGAACAAAAAAAATTGAAGTTCTAAAAATAGTGCATCTTATAAAGATGAATCTTCAAATTTCAAAATTTTCTGCTCAATTTGCATTACTTTTAGATTTTAAAATTTTTTAATTATGGTTGGACATCAACTTTCAAGTCATGGGGTTTCCGATATAAAGCACTTCAAGGAAGCACCTGCCGCCATATTCGATCTGTCTAATGTAATGATAGTGATACCTTTGGCCAAAGAAATATGCAAGTACATCTTCAAGCAAATTTTAAAGGTGTCTTACTTGTATAGTACTATATAGTAAGCATGTTGTACAAACATTACCCATAAAAAATTGCCCAAGTTTATTTAGTTAATTGTGCCGTCAAACCTGCCAATCCAACTCACCTGTCAAATACTAATTTTTAACCGATTTTTTTATCAAAACCAAAAAACCAAGGCACCAGTCAGCAATTTGAATGGACGGACAGGCCAGTCCAATCCTGCCCAGTCTTGGTAACCATGGTCTAGACAACAGTGGCTCTTTTTCACTCACAAGTTCTTTTTAGGAATTCCCCCAAGAAAAATTAATCGAACACGTTGAAAAAAAAAAAAAACAGTTCTTACTGTGAAAATGTGTGAGAATCCATTGTTCTGCTATCACATCCAGTTAAGCATCCGTTACAAGTTGACTGCCCAAGAGTCCAGAGTGGTCAAATGAAATCACCATCCACTATTCAAAAGATACTAGCAGCATTAGCCAAATGTTTAGTTTTTCACTATGATGACAATGCTCTCTATTCCATTTATAAGTTATTTAACATACCATTAACAACTTTTCTATCAATTTGGCCGATGTTACAAATTTATAGGCAAGCTTGTTAGCTTGTTGCCAGTCTACAGACATGTAATAACGCAAGCCAGTCAATGGACCCTGCCTCATAACTTATCAAACAAGATGATCTCGCATTAGTTAGCAATGGCAGTTTTCACATAATCAAAGGCCGACTTCCATTAAGGGGTATGGCTCTGCCAAAGGACCTCACTTCCAGAGCCAAATCGCACAATCTGACCCATATGCTCAAAAGGACATTGCTGGCCCTTCTAGATCAGAGATGTCTACCGCATGGTCCAGTATAATCCCCTACACCCACTACATCTCATCAATGTATGGATCTTGTATAAAATCAACATCAATCCTTCAGCTTCTTCAAAAAATTAGTCATGCTCCAGTAGAACAAATATATGGCAGCATTAACCATATTCTACACCCACTTTGCCCTGCCCCATACCCAGATTTTGTATACAATTTACATCAGGTCTTCCTATTTCAACCGACAGTTTTTGCTTCTTTAGTTGTATCTGTTAATGCCTGGGTGTTGGAGGTCCCTGCATCAGCAGAGGATAGGCTTGGTTGGGCCTGACTTGATGATTGGGTATCTTGAGCAAGGCCCAAAACCACTAAGGTTGACCTGATAATGTAACCATTACCAAACCGGGACAGAGAACATCAGTAAATGAGAAGCAAAAGGGAAGAAAGAATCAAGTTTAATAGCATGTTTCAGAAGAACCTGGGTAGTGACGACCGGATATTTGGTTGGTTAGCATGAGCAACCAGGGGTTGTCTTAGTGCTGGAGTTCTGGTCAGTGCATTTTCTAGTTGTGCAGCTGGTAGCTGTCAATGACAGTATATGAAAGTTATTCTCAAAGAAAACAGAGGAAATATAAGTGCAATCATTCAAAGAAAGAAAATGTTTATATAAGGTGTCAACCTTACAGCATTTCAAAGGATGGTGATAACCCCATGGACAATGGCTTTCCATAGTCCATTGGATTACATATATTCTTCCAACTAGAAAATGTCATTACAAACCATAGATGAATAGATTTTCTTTGCAGGAAACAAAGAAAATATATTTCTTCTTTTGCGAGTTCTCTTTGCCAGACAACATTTGCAGTGGGACATGCTTTCACTATACTGCACATGGCACGACTCAAGATGATTATAAATGGATCATGTAGTGGTTTACTGGGTATACCTGCAGTAGAACATTGTATGATTTTGTTTGAAATGCACACTTCAAGAATCCCACCCATAATTTAGGGTATTTCCAGATCTGCAGTAACACAGTGAATAATCAATAACACAAAGTTGGAGAGGATAACAAAAATGAACTAATATGTAGATGCATGACAGTTTTGAAGAACTCCTGACATGCCACTTCTCTTTCGTTAAGGCCATATGGTTGCTAATATAAATATTCACCTTTCTAGAAACATGTAAATCTTTTACCTGCTTGCTTACTAGGCGAGACAGAATGTCCATTATAAAGTCCACCTGCAATATATCCAAATAAAACCATCTGTAAGTCAAGGGAACTGAAATCTAAACACCTTAGATCCATTCAAACACGGGAACTTTGCTACGTTGGAATTACGTCTGAGTCTTTCAGTTAATACACAAGGCTTTTTATTAGTTACTGTAAGCCACCCAAGAAATTGTATTTAGCTTTAATGTTAAGTATAAATGTTTTGGCTAATAACTCAGGTTCTGACTACACCAACTAAAGCAAAGTGACATATCTTTAGTTGATAAGGATGACCTGAAATGTCATCAATGCATACATAAAATTCTCAAGAAGAAACAAGAAAGCTTGCAGTTCAACTACTCACCAGTGCAGGAAAAGAACCAATAGTTTGTATAACTGTACGCATGAATAACAAAGGCAGAGGAATCTGTTCAACCTGTCAAGACAAGTGCTTAATGCGATAAGATTCAAATTATCCAAAAAAGGGTTATTTTGAAAAGAAATCAAGCTTTCAAAGCACATACAAGTTGATTCAAGACTTTAGCGAGAACTTGTTGCGTGAACACCACCCGCTGTTCAAAGCATGCAGAACATGCATCTGTCACCTATTTCACATGCAGCATGGTATATCTTAGAAGCGAAAAACCAATAATTACCTATTGAAAAAATTTCCAATAATACCAAACAAAAACATGCCTTTTTCAATGGAATTCCATCTCTTTCAGGATCTATTTCATGGATAGCAATTAGCACTTCAGCAGGTGTAAGAACAGGACCCATATTCGGAGATCCCTGCAAAAGAATACTTAAATTAGAAAAGAAAATCTAGGTAAAAAATCCGACCCATGAAACAGAAGCCTGAAACTGTTTACTGAACTATATAACCAGATAATAGACAGAATGAAGTCAAAATAAAGGCAAAATGGTTTTCGAGAAGAGAAAGATAACGCCACTTGGGAATAACCACAATTGAAGAGGCATAGGGGTGATGTGGCTCTTCTCTGGGATCTAGAGAGCACCAATGGCACGACTTGATACAAATAAAGAAGAGGGTAGATGTTATTTATTGCCTATTCTTTCACCATTCCTTCTGGCGGTAGTTTAAATAAGAGAAAACCCAAGACTTCACAAATTCATCCAGGAAGTCGGAAAACACAACAGAGATACAAAGTATTCAGAATCTTCGTGGCCCCCAACCTACTGGGTGGGTGTAAGGCAGAGACTCCTACAAATGAAAAGAAAGGGGAATGATCATGTACGGGGTCCCTGATATTTAGTTACATGAGAGTTACCTTCCCAACCATTAGATTAGAGATTTTACAGGTGATGAATTCGCCGTTACTCCACTACCCAATAATTACCACCCCACTACCATATTTCCTTTGTATTTTTCCTATGTTATTCCTCATGAATCCTCCTTGCTCCCCCACACTTTAAATGTTTCACCAGTTTCTATTTGCTTCCCTCTGTTTTCTAAGAAATTTAAAGGAAAAAAATAACCCCTCTGCATTTTCTGGATCCGTAATCATTTCAAGGACCTCAAAATAGGAGATTTCAATCAAAAAATGCTTAAAATAAGAAATAAAGGTCAAGCCACAGGAACTCAACTGAAGCACAAAGTCCACAATTGATAGATATACACAAGAAAAGATACAAATGCAATCTTGCCAATTAGATGAAAAGTTGGCATGACTAAAGAAAGATACCTTTAGGATACGCACAAGGGCAGCTTTAAATTTTTCAAGTGGTAGATCGACAAGCTGGGGGAATAAAGATAATAACTGAAAAAAGTGAAGAACAATGAGCAGAATCAGAATAATTGGAACAAAATAATAGATTATAGGGTTTAATATTATCTGAAACATCATGTATCACACATAAGGATGCCATTTTTAACTACAGTTAAGAAGGCAATGCTGGTCCAAACATACCAGTCTATATGAAAGTTCGCAAGATGTCATATAGCATGAAATAACCAGAAGTTTATTAGATACTGCACATTATTTTAAAGAGGAATATTACGATACACAACGGACAGTTGAAATTAACATTTAATATGTGTGTGATTCTGAGCAATCATATCACTCTGTAAACCTTACACGTGGAATCAAATCACCTCCAAAGCAAACCAAAAAATAACACCATCTTATGTTGCTTAAATTTGAAATTCAACTAATTTATCCCGTAGTCATATAAACCGTTTCGGGAAATCTGTACTGCAAGGGCCGTTAGGATGTACTCGTTGTCACTGATACTTCACTATTTCAATAAAATTGTCCGTGATAATGAACTATCTGTAGTTTGGCAGTGTCCATCATAAAGTTATATGAGATAAACTTAGTAAGCAGTTTCACATATAAGTTTCTATTTGAAACGTAGTTTTATTTTGTTAGAAGTAATTTTTTGAATATCACATGTTTCTGACCAGAAATAATTTAATAGCTGGAAATTGCTGAAGAAATTAAATAATATTACACATAATACAAGATAAGTACCAAACGACCAACAAAATAAATATTATGTAGGGTGCAATAATTTGGAAAAAAATTGTACAAACTCCTGTTCAATTTTATAATAACCCCTCTCATTTTTACTATCGTGTAACGCTAATTTTAGCAGTATATATCATCCCACCCACTGTCAATACCTTCTCTTTCCTCTTTTATCTTTACTCAAAAACCATCTCGAAAACAATATGCAAATTTTTCCTAATCCTCTCTCTCGCTTGTCCCTCAAGCAAGCGATGAGGAAGGGGAGATAGTGAGGTAAAATATGTCTTTGGGGCAGTTAGTGAGGCAAACATAAAAAAGGAAGAGGAAAGATGTGAGGTGGGGGTAGGATGATACATACTTATAAAAATTGAAGTTGCACGATAGGAAAAATAAGGGAGGGGTAATTTATCATCATCATCATCCGAGCCTTATCCCAACTATTTGGAGTTGGCTACACGAATCATGCTCTGCCATTCTGACCTATCAAGGACCATAACCTCAATCAAACCATAAGTCACCATATCTCTTATCATTACTTCTATCCATGTCCTTTGGGCCATCCCCTTGTCTTTTTAGAGCCTTCCGCATGAACCAAATTGCTCCTCTTAACCGGTGTTGTATTAGGTCTACGCTGCATATGGCTAGCCAACCTAAAGTCTACTTCTCCTTATCTTATCGCCTACTAGAGCCACCCCTAAGTTCTCTTATGTATTAATTCCGAATTCAATCCTTTCTTGTCTTGCCACTCATCCATCTCAACATCCTCATCTCAGCTACACTCATCATATGAATATGTTGTTTTTAGGAGTCCATACAAAATTTTGCTCATTAATTTTAGATAAGATAGTCTATTCCATATAAAATTACATGTCATCAAACATGCCCCAGATTATTCAATGCAGTTTTGATATGCGTTTTTCATTCTCCATTACATTTTCATTTAATAAATAAGCTAGTAACCACTATAGAAAAAATTAATGATGAGAGAAATTCAGATGAGAAATCCAACAGTCCCAATTTTGCAAACTCAGGATTAAAAGTTGAAGAACCCAAGCCAGTCCATAAAAAAAAAGCTCTAAAAACTGTCCACCTTCTTCGTAGAAAACAAAAGATATAAGTGAAATACTATAATAGGGTGCAAAGTCTAAACCTCGTCTTTAGGCAAGGACGACACGATTGGTATAAGAATCCCCACATCCTGCAGAGAGAAATAATCACTCGTCAAAACTAAGAGTTGGAACTATCTATGGACTTTCTTTGACTAGGAAACCTCCAAAGAACGCGATCTTAAAAGTTAGAGTTCATAGTTGACCTTCAATTTTGAGTCATATAACCGCTTGACCGTATATATTAAATCTGGTGAAGGAATTGTTCCATCAGTCAGTGTGTGCAAAACCTGGTTGGAAGGAATAACAAATCAATGAAGTCCTGCCTAGGCACAGAAGCAAACTACAAAACTTGAATACACAGCAGATGGAACAATCTTTTCTTTTCCTTTTGGATAGCTAGCAAAAGGATTAGTCAATACCTGCATGAGAAGGCTTTCACTTCCTGTTGGAGGATCTGATAAAATTGAAAGCAATTCAGGAGACGAGCCTATTGTACGAATTAAAATTGGAATATGGCGATGAACTGCCTGCACCATTAAGCCCATAAGACTCCAGAGTTTCCATGGAAAGAAGAGAAACAAAAAGCTCTCAGTAAAAAGCACCACAGGTGCTATAGATAAGGGAAAGTATGAGAAACAAAATTGTGTTTTAGACATTCTCATTTTTTATGTTAGCATCTGAATTTCCAGGATGTGTTAATTGCACCCAATATGCTTGACATTCGATGAGAAAATGACTATATTACCCTTGTTTTATTTGACTATTACTAAATATTTTTAGTTTTGTACTCATGAAGAGAGTACAGACAAAACCCTAAATGCAAAAGAAAATATAAAACAAAGCAAAATAATGACTGTTTTTTAAAGTTCACACATGAGCTGTAGACAATGCATCTGGAAAACTCATAAATATCACTGAAGAAAGAATGTCGGATGCTCCATAAAGCTTTCTGATACATCGCTATAAATAGAAGGATACATATCATGGAAAAACTAACCTGCTTAACAGCATCTGGTGCACTTCCATAGTTTAGGAAAATTTCTCGAAGCAGAGAACGCTTCTGTAATAATGAACAGGAAGACATTGTTCATAAAACTAATAAATATAAAGACCAGATTACCAAAAAGAAGCTCATATAATTCCAGCAATGCAACTCACACAGCCCAAGCTGGTAAAGATTCAACCAGTTAAAGCATTTACCCAACAAATAAAATGGGCAGTACCTTGGTGCATAGCGCGAAAAAGAGAGACATGCACCTCTGTGCCTCTGAGATTGACGAGGATGATAAAGTCTTAGCAGAACTAGAGTCATTGATATTAGACGAGATATCTGCAGTGGCCAAGCCTGCTTCTTTCAGCAGCTGCCCCCCTTTGGGAACACCCTCAGTACTGTCTATCTGTATAGACTCGGAAAAAATAAACAACACACTTCTATTTAAGATAGTAAAAACTTATGTTTTACTCTTCAAGAAATCCTCGGCATCGCAATTATAAATAAGTAAAGAGAATTAAAAAGGTACTGATAAATTTCTCCAATCATTGTTACCATACTCATAGTGACTGTCTTTAAGAAACAGAGATATCTCCATCTTGAATTCATGTTTATGTCTTAGTTCATTATCAGAGAGTAATAAACACATTTCCATCATGAATGACTTTGGGCCAATGTGAGACAATTAACCAATCATCCTGGTTCTCCTAACCAAAAGGAAATTGCTTCCCATCAGATGGTTTTAATATAACTAAAGTGTGCTTGCATGAATTGCATTGATTCGTGGAATCAATTTACTAATGATACTGCTAGGCATATACTTTTGTGATTTAAGACTAGCTTCTAAATTTATGAGTGCATATATTGTGCAAAAACATCTTTATTTATTTCTTTTCTAAGCTCATATGTAACTCATTGGCCACAATACCGAAAGTGCATCTTCTGTTATGGTGCAGAACTATATAATAACTAGGAATATCCCTCCAACAAGCAATGGTAATATTCCAGAAACAAAATATATTAAAAAAGTGTTCGTAAGTGCGATCAAATCTTGGTTCTCGCAATGAAAAAGGCTTCACTCAAGAAACTACACTTCATATTGATATGGTATTCGGTAAAGACCTTTGCATTCTAATGTAGAACCTCTTTCCTAAGAAATTTAAGGAACATAAATTTGCTTCAGTGAAGCAAGTATCTCGCACTGCAAAAAAGTAGCAACTTAGTAATGCATGTCCACCTTCTCACAAAGACAATACCAATTTTCATTTTGCCTTCCAACTTGATTTTTACCAATTCAAGCACCATTGATACAACAAGCCATCTGGTACTGGGAAGTGAAACCCAATTAGAAGAAATGACTGGTGAGATCCAACCAAACTCGAAGAAGATAGGAGCATAGAACCCCACAAGTATTGAAAGCAATACCTGTCCTCCACTAAGGTTGGATCTGTCAATATTTGTGCTTTCCCCACCAGCATTACCATTTACAACTGAGCGCAGCATTTCTGTGGCAAAATTTTCAATCTTTTGCGAAATGAATGAAAGAGGATAGAGCTTATTAGCTACCTGTTCAATGCCCATGGATCACCATATTACCATAAGAGAAGACAGTAGTCTCACTTTAATAGCATAGGACCATAGGACAAAGTATTACCAAACGTATAGCTTTCATCCGTACTTCTTCCATGTGATGGACTGTGCTCTGTTAAAAATAATGACAACTGAACTTAAGTACACAATGCAAGAAGTTGGTAAGAAACAAACAGAAAAATAGTCAAAGTAGAAATATTTGTAATTCATGGTGGCTTAAATTTACAGGATAATAACAAGCTTCCAGCATAAAGTAAAGGAAAAGTAGACCATTCATTAACTAGACTAAAAGTTCAAAAAAAGATTTTTTGAACTTCGTGACATACCCAAGACCTCTAATGGCTAGAAATAGTTGTAACCTCCTTGTAACAAAGATAAATGGTCTCATAGTACATAATTTCAAAGTAAATTGAAAGATTTCAAGTTTCCTATTAGACATTGAGAGGAGAAAGAGAGAGAGAGAGAGATCAGATGCATCATAAGTCATAAGTCTCAAACACCTCTGAATGATTTCCATGACTTCGATCTTATGCATATGAAATACAAACCGTAACTCAAGAATGCTCTATGTGGCAAACAAAAATCCACCACAAGCAATTTTATATTCAAAAAGGACAACCAGTAGCACCTAGGCACTACAGCTCAGACATACATGTAGGTGGATATGCAAGCAATCCTAAAGAACGGTCAAAATGGGAAGTGCTTTGAGTGGTAAAATACAACTATCAAAATTGATATTCTAAGAAGGAAATTTGAGATTGCTACATTATTTTCTGGCAAAATCCTTGTCCATTCAGGATATTTCGTTATTTCCTTAGGCAGTATCCAATCATTAAGTAAGCCAAAAACTTAATGCCCTATCATTTTCTAGATTCATTTTAATACATGAACTCTACAAACTCATATATTTGCTCAACTACCAACCATAAACACCATAATAAAAAGAACAGTCGACTGATTGTACCACAGAAATGTGAATTCTTTAGGGTGATTATTTGCCAATAATTTCAATATTATAAATGTGGGTAGAAGAGGGTATAAAAATATAAGAGATAACTAGATTAAAGAGACAAGCCCACAAACAACCCACTAAATCTCAAAGAAACTGAACCAAAACACACACTAACTACAACTGAACCTTTGTTACTGCCTCATCAGCAAAACAAAGGTTGAGTACATCGATACTGAACCTTTGTTACTGCCTCATCGGCAAAACAAAGGCTGAGTAGACCATGCTTCGCAAACCTTTGTTACTGAACCTTTAGCAGTCTCCTGCCAATGCATCATTTACCACATCTGGTATGCCACACCCCCTCAAACGTTCTTCTCAACAACAGAGCATGTCAAGACCATACTTCGAAAATTTCTGATTAAAACATGATTTCTCCAAAAATCTCCTAACTTGTCAAAATCTGTTAACTCCAAGATTTTCAAAAGATTTTTAAAAAATCACTTTTTTTAAATGAAACTGATATAAATCATATTTTATCTTTTCTCAAAAAATATTTTAAAAATTCCCTATAACTTTATTGAAACTTCCATTCTCTTCATTGATTTGATATCTTTGAATTTTGGATTAGAGATAATCAAATAATAAAAATTTCATCAAAATTTTCAACTTCCATTCTCTTCATTGATTTGATATCTTTGAATTTTGGATTAGAGATAATCAACTAATAAAAATTTCATCAAAATTTTCACCAACATATAACCTTCAAAAAGGTGTATTAAAAAAAAAAAAACTAGAACAGCCATATAACTCAAAATAATAGGTAGAATTCAAGGGAAAGTATCCCAATGAAAATTCCTTTTTTCTCTTAACCCAGATCATCATTATAAAGAGCAAGTGCGAGAGAGAGAGAGAGAGAGAGAGAGAAAGAGAGATTCAATCAACTAAAGATTTAGGTATTCGGGAATTCTGGGTGATGTATTTAGTTATTTCTTTCTGCATACAGAAGTTTGGTTGATTTCTCCTTTTCGAATTTTTTGTTATTTCATTAATGCATACAACAAAATATTTTGGATGGACCACTTTTTCACATTTCAGGCTTTTATGTTTTAATTAACGACAGTTGTGTACTGAAGTTCTTTTTTTTTTTCTTCTAACAGTAATTCTATTCCTTTGGGTTGCAATGCTTGTTATTTGTTAATGCAGTCCTCTTGTTTACTATTGTTGTTGTTTCATTGTTTGCTCCCAACAAATCCATCATATGTTTCTTGTTGTGGCAGTAAAACAAGCATTGTTTGAAGTATATAATGAAAATTTAAACAAAAATTTGTCAAAAATTACCCCAATGATACTAGGGTAAGGACATAAAATTATTGCTCAACGAATTCAATGTATCCATACAATAACTGCAAATCATAATCTTATCTTGCATTTCTTTACATATCCGATTTTTTCACTCCATATTGTGAGCAAAATCCAAACTATTCACGATTCTTTAACTTACCTAATTTTTCGTGATCTGTATTTTTCACCTGATTTTTTGCCTCAGATTTTTTTGCAATCCGTATTTTTACAAGTGTTTTTATTTGCCGATATATTGTTATTCCTGGACTTGCTAACTATGGTCAAGACCAATAAGGATGCCTTCCATTTCAATACATCCACTATCAAATGGATCACTCTATTATTTAACATTAGATTTATCAGTGGAGTACGGCAAATTCATCAGCATAATACATCAAAGTCTAATCAACCAGCTCAACACAAAGATTTTGATTCACATTTGATGGTTTAGCTTTGCCAAAATTATCGTACAACCAGCCAATCCTCCTTAATGGCTTCCCATATTTACCGCAATCCCACAAAAACTGGACAACGTTTCAACAAAGCTTGAGGAAAACATCTAGCTTAAACAATTGTTGATTCCCTCTTTAAAAAGCCATTGAACACCGAAGGAGTGATTACCAACACCAAGGGAAAGTACCAAAATCTGAATTCTGAGGGACTACAAAGAAAACAAAATCTATTGGGTCAACAACATCCATTAAAATGGACAGTGTTGGACAGAGAGAGGGACGCACTAAATGGAACATGTCCAAATCTGGTGGGCTCCATTCTCTCTATCACTGTTCATGTCAATGGACCAAAGCAAACATCAAGAAATGTAAAGTTGATAGATAAATGAGAAAGGAGAGTGACCTGTAATGCAATATTCAAGCACAAATCTCTAATGGGAGGCCTTGACAATATCAAGCTCCATACAGCACTGAGGCCCTGTGTTACTCGATCGCCAGCCTGCAAGTCCTTCCCATCCTTCCCATTTCCAGGAGAACACAAGCTTTCCAGCATCTTTAATGCTTGTTTGGGCAGATAAGGAACTTCACCAAACAATCTGCTTAAAGATTTGTCGGCAGCGGGAAGAGAGTCTCGAAGTGTTTCAGCCTGGACTAACAAAATGTGTTAATTAGCTTGGGCCAAAATCCTATACAAACCATTTGATGTAGATAATAAGTAGCAGACAAATCTATTTACCACAGTCAAAAGGAATATTTCATATGTTGAGCTTGCAGATGATGATGAGACAAAATCCTGCTCACGTTCTGCCTCTCCATATAGTCTATAGAGAACATGCAAAGTCAACTCATGCCCCTGGAAAACAAACATAATTTTAGAATGCATAGAACCCAATTCCTCAGAAAATAACTGAATAAATAGACATTGAATCATTTTATGGAGAAGAATTTCCCAGCCAGCCCATCTATTCACTAAATCTATTGCACACAACTGGCATCTCTTTCTTAGAAAAAAAAAACGGACAGCACCAGTTTGATTTCTCTGTATTGTGCAAATCAAGGGATTGTACAGACTTCATCTTTGTTGCACTTCCACAAGGGAATCGAGGGAATAAGCACCATCAGCCTCCGTCTGTAGGCACAAAGACATGCACAAATATGTTGTGTGTATGTATTATAGTTTAAATGTCAGAACCGGCCGTCGGATGGAACTAAACCAAACTGAGTCGAAATGAAAAAACATGGAAACAAAAAGTGCTCCAAATCAAGGAAGAAATACATTAGTATTTTATCCAATGAAAAAATAGAGCAGTTTATTTACATTTTAATTATCACTTTAAACAAGACATTTTGACTTATAAATTACTTTCTAAAAATGCTTTGCACAAATATCGTACCATTAGACTATAATTTACACTAGTAGTACTATATGACACTTAGAAATTACTGTCACAGAACAAGTAACTATTTATCAGAAAATTATAGAACAAGCACTTACATCAATCTAACCCACATTTTGAATTCTAAAACAGAAAGCGAAGAAACTCCAAACACAGACTAAGAGCATTCAAAAATGCATTTGTCCATGATTCCATTACAAATGATGTTACAAGTTACAATGGTGCAAGTACAGCAACACCCAGATCAGTGACATAACCAATGCATACTCCATACAGTAACAAAATCATCGAACACATATATCTTGGTGTATCCTTGCCTCTCATTCCCAATTAAGTCACTGTCCAAGGATGGAACCCCCAGGACCCGTCCCTCAACACTCGAGCAATATTCCTCATCTCAGCCTCTGATGGTGCTAACTGCCAACCCACCAAAATCACCGATTCTGACCCAGATAGATTGTCTCTGACCATGGAGTTTTACACTGTAAAATATGATCAGACCTTATCATCAACCTTATCCTCATCCTGTCCAGCATCCATTAGCTAGATGGAGTCTTCTATCATCATCCTACAACGTTAATCCAGCAGCCGCATCCCTGACACCATCCTTTACATTACCATAACCACCATTGCTCTTTCCACTTTCATTACAGGCTCCAAGGCTGTCTAATGGAAATATTGCTACCTCCACGATCATATGTAATCCAAACCTGTGAATCCTCGCAATTCCTCTGATTATAAAGAAAGGGCAGTTGACTAAGCAATCCACTAACAGCTCCTCAAAAGACAAATAACCCAAGTTGGACTGTAATTTCTTGTGGTCTTACAAAACTGAGCTATTAGTCTTAGATTGTACTAGTAAAAAATAACTTCTTCAGTTTTGTTGTGGATAGCTGTTTCTGAGTAAGAATGCCCTGCAATTTGATCACAACCTGAAGCGGGGTACATCTCACATAAAACTTTCACAACCATCCTTTGCAACTTCAGGAAACGGATTCAGTGAAGCTCCCACATTTCGCTGAAATTGAAGACAATACTTAGTCTTTTTATAAATAAAATTCTGCTAAGTGATGGCCAAGCTTTAACACTTCAGAAATGCGCAAGGTTACATCGGTCGGTTTTCTTTCTAGAATTGATTGCTATATTTATGTAAAAATCGTCGGTTACATCTACCAAAAAAATTAATGTCAATGGGTACTTGACAAGGAGTTGCATCAAATGTATCTTGAAATTAATAGAAAGTCCCATCACACTTTGTTCCCTCCTTGAAATGGAATTTTACAACAATTATAATATCCGTGGCATGGCTGAAAAACTCTCACAAAAAGGTGCAGCATTTAAGAATAACCTGCAAAAGACCAAAATTATGTATAAAACAAGCGGATTAAAATTCTATCGTCAATAACACAAATAATTTGCTAAAAAGTAACATCAAAAATGATGAATTAATGCTTAAAAAATATAAATATTTATCAATAGATTGAGAAAGTTCTCAACTAAAGAAATAAACTAGTTAACATACCTATGTGTGACATGAATATCCCAGTGGAGCTGTCCAACGTGGCAAGAGTCTTTCAAATCCTTTCTCTGGAATCTGTGTTCCATCTTTAATGGCTTGTTTGCAAAGCCCATGGCTTCATATAACTATAATGTTGTGGGCTTTTCTTCTGATTCAACACCCTTCATCACCATCTTGAACTTGTAACAATTTCTTTTGTAACTTTTTTGACCTCAGTGCTCTGGGTAACGTTTGAACGTCAAAGCTCATTGCAAGTTATGATGAATTACACCTATCTGATGAGAACCTTTTTTTTTTTTGGGAACTGTTAACTGTTGTATTTATAGAGAGTGAGTGCAGGGCGGGAGTAGATACCACCCACAAGACGGGGGTTCTAGTCCAAAAAACAGGCTTTCCCAAGACCGGTAGCCCTATACAAAAAATTGGGGAGACCCAATAGAGTAAACAAAATTACAGGTAACAAACAAAACAGCGAAACAACTGTGAGTCCAAAAAATCAGGTAGAAATAATGAGAGCTCCATCCTTAGCTAGGGTGTCCGCTTGGGCGTTGGATTCATTTCAGGTATACCTCCATAAGACGACCATATCCCTTCAAGCATCAATTTCCAGAGCATACATGAGGGTCTAATATGGCACCTGATCAATATCTGATGGGAACATTTTGTGTAGACCAAGTAGCACATCAGTGTTCTAGGTAATGATAGATAAAGATGATGCAAATGTAAGAGTCCATTCATGATACAGTAACTCTCCCTCTCCTGTGCTTCCTAATCAAAGGTAAGAGTCCATTCATGATTATAGATAAATCACACAATTTGTCATGCATTCCCAATAAAAGAATTTATATTAGGACGCCTGCCAAGTCGTCTAAAATGAAATCAACGAAATGGGAAGCACACAGCAACCAAGAATCAGAAACTACAAGCTTTCTCTGAAGCAAATACTAGCTGATAATTCGTTACTGTATTCTCCCACCTCTTGAAATTCTATATACATAACTTCAACCAAGAAGCAAGAATTCTTCCTTAGAATTCCACTGCATCAATAAAATTGAGACAGATCGTTCCTCGAGCAAAAAGCTAGTCCACATTTACCTGTTAATATTTCAACCATCACGCATCAAAGTGCATCCATTCTTCAAACATAGCGCCCTGAAGTACGCAACAAGCCATAGTTGCTGGAACCTCGTAGGAAAGTCACGGACTCGCTCTGGAACCTCAATCCCGCGATTCCAGCTAGGGATCTTGGATGGAACGCGGATCCCTATATTGTGATCCTCATTCCCAGCAGGTTTGAACCACGGTTCTCACGTGTGCATATGATGTTTTCTTTATTTGGCACTGATTCATATGCACTAATTCAGGTTTGTGCCCAATGGTACTATGAACCCACGCATCATTCTCGATCCCTTAAAACATACTATTGTGATGCCTTCCTCATGAAATCATGCTTCCCTGTGACAAGGATCGCAATCCCTTGATATAGGATCGTACAGACAATGATCCCAACCACAAGGAGCTTCTAACAATCCACAGTTCTGCGGACCAGAGCCAGCTCCCGCTCCCGACAACTATGCAACAAACAATACCAAATCCTGACCTCCTTGTCTACCTCAGATCCTCATACGTCATAAACACTCAAAGGCCTCATACAGGTCTTAGATACATCTAATATTGGACATAGGAGAGTAGTATACATTGGTAGCGGCATCATCTAAAACCATAGAGTAATGGCTCTAAAGTCTCTTTCTCATATCCAGCCCCACAATACTCGTAAGCGTCTTTTGTTGAGGGCCTATCAGCAACAATGGGCCCATTTACCCAACCTTATCTCACTCTAATACTAACCAGCTTCTGAAGTAGTCCCCCTAAATCTCAAGCTGAGAAGTCAAGAGTGCAATAAGTGAAGCACTTTAAAAAGATCCAACACATGCAAGTAAACGCTCTTCACATGCCCTAGAGCTCCAACAATTCAAGTTACTCTGAAATATATCATTGTCGAACGAGCAGTCCTCGTTATCTTTACACAGCTATATCTTCCTCCACATGTTTTCTTACTTCCACGGTTTGCCCTCTGGTATCTAACTCCTGACAAAAATCTTCCATAAAAACCTCAGGAACTGAAAGGTTACATAGCGTCACCACACTTTTTCGTTAGTTCATGTGTTTCTGCTAATTTCCCCATTCATTTCGAGCCACAATAACTACATTGCACCCTATCCCATACACCCTCCACAAATGCAAACCCATTTCTCCACTAAAGATAATGCATCCTATGAATCTCTATAATTGGCAATAATACTCCAACAGAAAAAATAGTAAAGCACCTTAAACTACGAAAATAAATAAAAACAAAAATAAAATAAAAGTACTAATCAATGCCATACATTGAACCCCAGATGTTCAACAAAGAAATAAAATGGGCAATATTAACGAATTTAATTTCTCCTGCTTTAGAAGAGTTTACTATTTACAGAGTACTATGAATTTATATTCGAATATATGCATTTTAATATTTCTAAAACATACAATACAATCATGTAATTCTGTGCATGTAAAGCAAGAAGCTAAATAAAGCATTTTTACCAACCTCATGATTTAAATAATCGGCCAATATATGCCTTTGCAAAAGCCCCAGCGAGTCAAACTCCAAGGGACACTACAAAGTAACAAAAATCAACAAATCAGTAAACATTATAGAAGGATGCAATTTATCTTCGAGAAAATAAATGACATACTAACAGAACTACAGCAAAATAAAAAATAGATACAATAATAGAGAGGCCCAGTACACAAAAAAAAAAAATTGAAGATAGTCTATTTGAGTAAATTAAAGCATAACACAAGCTTTGTAAATCATTTTTAGCATAAAAGTAAGGCTGTGTTGACCTCGTATCAAGGATTGCATTCGCAGCCAAGGGTATCATTAGCTAACATTCCTAGCATAAGCATTAATTGGGGGCCACATTACTTAAAAATGCCTTTGTAGTGTTTATGAGTTCAGCACTCTGGAGAAGGGAGGAAATGAATAGCCCACACACATGCACACATGCATGTGTGCATGCATGCACGTGTGCACGCACGCACGTGCGCACGTATACACGTGGACACGTGTACACACACACACACACACGGAATTGAAGTTGGGTGTTTGCTGTTAATTAAACCAAGAAAAATGGGAGGATGATATGAATCATTACCTCACCACCAAAATAAGCTAGCAAGGAAAAGCGAACATTCAATCCTCCAGCTATGGCGATTTGTTTGTACGCCTCAATGATACGCACATATGCCAATTTCTGTATGTGATCTTTTTGTTCATCAGTCAAGGCAACAACTAGAGGTGGCACCTTCTGGAGTAAATATGAGCTTGGCAAGACAATGGGTGCTGAAGCGGTTGAAGATGCCCAGCTCATATCTCCACTAGATGCCCTTGGACTTAATGCTTCAGACTTATCATATGACATGTGATCAGATGAGGATTCTTGCTTTGCCGAACTCCCTGAGACCAAGTCCACAGAAGAAGAAAGTGAGCTATCTAAGGCTTCTTTCAATTCTTCAACGGATGGAACATCATCTAGGCCAGGAATTCCAGTCTGCAAAGCCCCAACTTCAATTGTCTCGAGTACAGCCAATTGGTTAACTTCTTCATCAGAGATTGGCACAATAGAAGATGCTGGAGCATCTCTTGGTAATACAGCTACATCTGTAGTGCTAGTGTTTGAAGCAGGTATGGACAAATCCATCGGGATTGGTGGCTTCCTTTCTTCAGTCAAGTCCTGCAGTTCCCAGAGTAAGCACAAACCCCTTACACAAAGCCAAAAAATACATTGAAGCACTTGTCTTTTCTTTCTGGGAGAAGGTTCACTATATTCTTGTAGTATAAAGTTCTTGTATTAACTATACAATATGGCAACACAAACTCAGGGTCCTTAAATACAAAAAGGGGTTCCAAAGGTAAAACAAAATGAACAAGAAAACAGAAAATACAAAATCCTCCGCCTATCAGTAGCAGGCTGCAACAAATGAAACCACTTTCTTATTCTTTAAAGGATCCATAGAACCAGCTAATAGATAAAACGGAGACCTAAAAAAGTTAAACCACAAGCCAAAAGTATAAAATACCAGAAGTACAAATTCAAGATGAAACAAAAAATAATAATGACTTACAGCACTACTTGAAGATGGCAGAGGCTTCATATCTAAAAGAGAGGCTATTTGAGGTAATGCACTCAACAATGACATTGTATGTTCGGTACCGGATAATTGCTTTATTTCTGCAGAGGCATTGCTGATAAGGAAGGAAATATTACATGAGGTGAGTGTCTCCTCCTCTCCACTCTCTGGACTGGGACGAGTAGATGGAAGAAAACGCATGTTATATATTACAACTTCAGCTAGTAGGTCTGAAGAAATGCTTGTAATAAGAACCTCAAGAGAATTAACAGCGCTCTCGCCTTGGGCCACCAAAGCACCAAGCATAGCAACTAGTTGCTGAACAGGGCCAGACTCTCCATCCCCAGTTGAAGATTGAGCCATATTAAGAGGAGAACTTTCTTGTGATTTCTCAGGACTTGGCTGAATAACCTGCATAGGTGACTCTTGAGAGACAAGAGCAACATGTCTGACTCGTTTTCCAGAGATATCATCACCATGAGCCAGGTCTCCAGCATCTTCTGCTACCGATCTCTTTCTTCCTGCATCTATGGGTGTAGCATCAGATACGTGCATTGAGAGGGTCCCATCCTACAAAATGATCCACATTTTAAGTGCTTGCAATAACATGCAGGGCCATTATACTTAAAACCATGGACTAAGGAAAAACCATTTTCCATTGGTTTCTGACCATCCTTTGAAATGACATGTGATAAAGAGAGAGTGGGACCCACCAGAACATGACATGACCCCAAAGGTAGGTCTCACACTCTCCATCAGTCATCTCAAAACCATCATATCAAAATATAAAGTTTTCATGCATAAACCAAAGAAAAGAACTACCTTTGGAGCATGTGGATCTCCAGTCTGATGGTTAAGGTTTCCTGGTACATTGTCAAATTGACCAAGGGCACGTTCGGATGAATCTCCAGCATTCAGTGATTTCAACGCATTGACCAGTCGATCCCGCCACTGAAAGTATTAGCAAGTGAAATCATGAAAACCATATTCAAATATAGTTTCTAATTAAGGAAATTTTGTTTTTGAATTTAACGATGACACAAGTACAGCATTGCATCTACTTCTGAAAATTTGTATAAGAGATTTTCAGTATTGTCTTTTACCTTGCCTTTCAATAAAAAAAGGACAAGCTTGTAGGGGAAGCATGGCCAAAAACGTCCATAAATACCAAGGAAGTTTGTTTGTGCTGCCTACTAACTGAATCTTTTTCAATTATCAACAAGAAAATTCAACGCCATGGAACATGCAGCTCTCACAGGCATTGATAATAACCATGCTCTATTTTTAAAAAGAAAAAAAGAAGATAATGGCCACACCAACTTGATTGTGAATAGCTTTCAATAAAGTTTTTTGATAAAGAGCAAACTGTTCTTGGATATAAGGATCCAGTCCGAAGGACAGGCACCAAAATTTCCCAATCCATTTAAGTATGGATATAAGAACAAGCCAGCATAACGAGCATGTGAACACACACACACACACACACACACACACAATCTATTTCATGTGCAAGTGTGCGTGTGTATGTGTGTGTGGGGAGAAAGCAAGAGAGAGTTCACGATGCAGTGATATCCTAAGACCGAAACCTCCAGGAATTTAGAATTTTCAAGCGAAGTTTCATATTCAACTGGAAAACTGAGGTTTGTGATGACAGTTCTTATTTTAAGTTCATTGCCATATGGGAAGCCCCTCTATAAGGTTATTGAAACTCAATTTCAATGGGAGCTCCTTCAGAACTCAGGTCCTTTTTCCAATAGTTCGCAGCATCTCTAGGAATAATTCCCAGGCAGTTTATTTAACATTCTTGCGAACTATCAGATAGGATGATTCTATAGTTGTTGAAGCTGGTGCAACCTTTACAGCTAAATAGTGGCCTTCTGGTTGCTCTTTTTGCTCCTAGGTCATGGAAGATGACTCTTTATAATTGAGAAGTAGTCCAGGATATGTGGCAATATTCGAGAAGGGCAAACATATTTGGAATGGGGTCAAACTCTCATTTGCATTGACAATTCCTTCAACGAGGTCCTTCAATCCTTGAACACAGAGGTTGTTGTTCTAGCTAGACCATGTACCAGTAGGAAGTACCTGCCACAAGGAAGTTTTCTCCTCTTGGTTTGACCTCATCTATATGTGTGCCCCTATTTCTCAGCCTTTTTGCACAACTTGATTGAATAATCCAATGCTCCTTTTATGAAGCAATAATCATCAGAAAGAATAAGAACAAACTGCCTTAACTAAAATGGAGAAGGCTGCAAGCTACATCCAATGAGGAAGAAAGGACGAAATCGCCCATAAAAATGATGCAGTGAAGCGACATGCATAAGCAATGACACATTCCAAAAGAAATATGACAACAAAAACCAAAATAATGGAGCATTCATGACCTATAACAGTAACTTCCATAGACTTCATTGCATACAAGGAAATAAGAAAAATAAAAGATAATAGTACAGAAAAAATAAAAGATAATAGTACCTCGTTTTATCAATAAAAATACAATAATAAATAGCAACCAACTCTATATTTATAAAATATGACAAAGAGCATAAGCCAAAAGATAAAAACAAGCATAAAACTCTAACAATTAAACAATTGAAACATCTAAAAGGAAAGGACTAATACCGGTGCAGCACCAGGATGGGTACACTTTAAACATGCAAGGAATGCATTTTTTAGTGCATGACGTACATTAGAAACCAGTGCTCCTTTTATAACCACCGTTGAAGGATCCAAAACAAGCAAAACAGGCAAAATGCGTCCAAAAAATGCTGGCCTCTTCCTTGCTATTGTTGAAAGACTGGAGAAAACCATCACAAAAATTAAAATCATACTGCTAAAGAACATTTAAGAAAGAGATGCATAGAAACTCCTAAACATGAGCAATTGAAGGGGATAACGAACACCTTGGCAAAAATAAAGAAATAACACATTACTTATTGCAATGGCATGCCAAGTCCAATTTCCAGTACCAGAAAATAACAACAAAGTCGTAGGAGCAGAGAACAAATGGATGCAAATACATAAAAAAAAATGCACAGCACTAATGCATAGAGGTAAGCAAGTCCTCCCTATGGTTATGGTTTTTGCATGTGTTTGTAAGATTTTTCATTTCAGTAATTTTTTGTGTTTTAATGCTGCGAGTACTTTCTTTGAGGGTGATTGAAAGAGCTACTTGTTTAAACTTGAGCATCAGTTCATATTTGCACAACAAAGAAGCAATGAAGAAATAAGATGAAAATTTTTCTTCAGAAGTAATTAAATTCTGACAAGCAACCCAATATGTAAGCCTCGGTTCTCTGGACACTCTCAAAAGAGAGAAATCATAAAATCTTTGAAGAATGACCCTCTATGGCAAATTTTGGGGAATGGTTACATCCAGATATCATTTCTTGGGATATTGCTTGTCAGCGGTTTCAAGACAAAGATATTGATCTGATTGAGGGTAACCTCAAGCTTAAACTTGATCACAGCTATGTTTATAAATTTTGTCCTCTGGGATTAAAAATATTTTTGAGACTTGTCACCCTGCTGGGTTGACAGAAGAGTTCGGAGTGTTACATATACCACAGGAGAAAGAGACTAAGAGAGAGAGAGAGAGAGAGAGAGAGAGAGAGAGAGAGAGA